GTGCTTTAAGTGTGTGTGCCCCCCCCCCCCCCCCCCCCCCCCACCTTTCCTGTCACATGCATTGTCGTTCCTGGAATTAACCTTATTCTTTCACCAAACGTTGGACTGAGGGAGCTGGCCTGCTTTCAGACCTCAAGCTAACTGGGTCGCTGGCGTGTGCTGGGGATACTCCTGTCCGCGACGCACATGTGACACGCGTGACGGGCTGTGCGCACGTCGTGCTGCCTCCTGTCTGCGCTCACCGTCATTTGGCAGTCAAGGGCAGCCCCATCCCCCCCTGGTATTTAAAGCTGCCCCCCTGCTCCTCCTCCCCACCGTCGCCCCCTGGTGCGGACTCTGGCGCTGCCATGGTGACATCTGGAATTTTCAAGGCCCATTTCCCACAGTGGTACCAACCTTGTCAGGCAGAGTTATGACGGCTTTCCTGTAGCTGCCAGAAAAAAAGTCAATGTCAGCCGGCTTCTCCGCAGAACACAACGGTAATAATAATAATTTTACATACAAGCTTGAATTGGAGTGCGCTGGAGTATCCGTGGGTGACTTCCTGTCCTGCGTCTTGGGGGGGCCGTCCCGGCTCCGAACACCTTGTTCTTCTCTTGTAACACGTGCAAATATATTTTTAAAATCCGCTCCCTTCCCCGTCAGTTGCCGGTCCGGCCCGGTTTGGCCAAACTGGCTCTCACAATTGAATTTCCCCACTTAAATCGAGTTGCCCTTGGGTGACTGGTGAGGTAGCACAGCCTCTGATAAGTGCCACACTGATATTGCTCTATTGATTTTCCTCCATAGTGGATCTCTACCTTCTCCTTTGGCTACTGGTTTCATTTTGCCGTCCTCCGATTAAAAATAAAAGCCCAATGAAATGGGCCCCCTGGGTGAAATTGTTTTTATTTATCTATTTATTTTATTTATTTATTTAAGAACCGTATATATGGTGTCTCTGCTTTTGTGCTTCCTTTTCCAGTTAATGTGTGGCTTTAATTCATCTTTATTTAACAGTAATTCGATTCATACGGAAGCTTCTGGAAGCGGCTCATAGGCGGGGCGATTTCCATGCAAATGAAATGCACAACGGTAATGAAATATTGACCGAATTCGACTGTTTGCTCAGCTTTCTGTTTAAGTGCATCGATCGTGTATTAAATGATGCCAGGATTTTTGAAAATACCCCGATAATCGCTGTTTCAGTGAGGAGATATGATTAAATATGCAGATCGGGTTTGTAACTAACATCAACACTGCGGGAAGAATCGCTAAGCTAACATATCCATGAATTTAAAGTCGTATTATGTCAGGTTTCGCACAAGTTTATCCCGATTGGAGCTCGTGACGACAATTCCTCTGGGATCCGACCATTTTTGTAGCTAAAGCTGATAATGGGATTTGTAGTGCCGCCCTGTCGTACAGATACCCTCAGCCAAGTGCGAGACTCGGAACGGTGAATTATTAAACAGATAAAAATAAATTTATGTTTGCTCCCTGCCAGAGTTCATATCCACACACAGCCTTGATAGCAGAGCGGGGTGATTTAGACAAGTTAGCTTTGGAGATTCATAGCATATGCTGGCGGGATTGAGTTATCGCCACTGCGGAGAGTAAGTTATTATAGTGGGGGCCTGACAGAGATGAAGATAACTGGGCAGAATTCAATTAGCTTTTAGTGTTTCCTTTCTAATAGGATCCTTAATGCGGAAAAGATCCTCAGATGATGGTACTCCGGGCCGCCGCGCGATTGGCCTCGATAGGGCTCTCCGAAAAGCTCGAGCCTGGGTGGTGGGGGGGGGGTGTTTATCGAACTCCTCCATTTTATGGGCCTTTATTAGCGGTGAAATGTGGCGGGTTCAGGGCATGGGGGCAGATGCCGGGGTCCTGATAGCACGGCTGAGGGTAGGCTGGGAGTCGTTTGTTTCTCGTGGGTCAGCAGGGCGGCCCGGTTTATAATACGCTTTAATCAGATTGACTCGGCTGTGGGTGAAAGAGCTCCGTTACAGAACAGATTTACCCCTGTAATTAGCTCTCTGTGCCACGGCTTTGTAAAAGTGATGGAGCTGGCCGTCCGGTGCTGCTTAACAGCACTTACTCCTCATGCAGAGCTCTCTGTGACACACTGTGATACTCGTGTGGCTTGAGAACAATACCGCAGACGCCTTTAAATAGCAGCAAGAACATGATAGGGAAGGATGTAGCACAACACTGAGTGAGGCTTGTAAATGCCCATAGTGCTACGCGGCTGGGTGACATCGCTCCGCCTGTGTGTCTCTGCTTTGTGCTCCTGGTGGCTGCATTTCCGCGTTTCCATGAGAGAACGGAGTGTCTCACAGGTCTGGGACCTGCCCGGGACGGGAGAGGTGCCACAGCAAGTGTGACCTTGAGCATGAGGCCCTCAGGTGCCCGGCAGGTTTCCGGAACGACGCCGTCGGGTTCCGTTTGCCGAGCCGGATCGCACTTATGATTTATGGATTTGGGGGGGTGATGGGAGATTAGCCGCCCCCCCCCCCCGACATGCGTCTTCTGTGCTTTGGCCGTGGACGCCGCCCCTGCGTGGCTGTAAGCCATCCGGCACGTGTGTGTGCCGTGCTGAATAATTCATGTGGCAGAGATGACTCTGCTCACCCCATCCGGCGATTTGATTGTGATGACGGTACGGGAAGGTCGGGGCCTTTGGTTTGTTACTGTTACTCAGGATCTTTGGTTTGTTACTGGAGAGGAACTGAGGTGTGTGTCAAAGCAAGGAGTCAGTGCTCAGGCATG